TGTCACACTTTCCATACCAAACCTTGTTTATGTTAGCAGTCACGCAACATGTTACACTGTGTCACACATCTTCATGTGTTACATATAACTTTTAACAGACCTGTAATGCAATGGTTCACCATTATCATTCATGCAAGCRTCACACTTGTTGTGTGACATGTCATGTCTAATAATCCTTAATGATATTATAGTAAGTTAAAGGAGCACCAGCTTCCACGTATTCAAGTAGGGGACCCAGTTGCAAGGTACTTTGGTCTTAAACGAGGACAAGTAGTTAAGATAATTCGACCTAGTGAAACAGCTGGTCGTTATATAACATATCGACTAGTAGTCTAAAGGAACATCCATACCTTTGTATATACTGACATTTGCAAAATCAATCTAAAATGGTACATACTTTGAACTTGTATTTCTAAATATTCATGCCAGCTTAAAATATAACCAAAGAAACAAAGTGAAAACAAATACATGTAGGGCACTCTTCTCAAATCTGAAACGATGGTAGATTAACTGGCATTTAGTTCAAATTTTTAATAAAATCTTTCTTATTCTGATTCTTCTTAATACTGAATTGTTATTCTAGCTCATTTACAATCATATTCATACTTCGTTTAAACTCGGAATAAGCCGAATACGAATTATATTTCCGGGAAACTCATTTTTATTCTGATAATTTGCTTTGAATACAAAACTCTCATTTATGAAGATTGCTTCAAATTACGGTGAAACTTACACATTTTACACACTGGGTCAGTACTTCATGTAAGATCACATGAAGTGGCACTAATAACTAATATCTATATTACTATATTAGTGTTACGATAAGGTTAGGCTATTAATGGGGTCTTTCATGAAGTATTGACCGGTGAAATTTGTCGTCAGCCGCGCGCTGTAATCCAGACTGTGCATGTTATGAGGTTTTCTTATCGTAGGTGTGGCAAATAGTAACGCGAGATAGAAAACTCAAATCACAACGTAGAATTTTTGTTAACTCAGATTTACAATGGTTGATGTCGGGGGAAAATCGACGTTGAGAGAACGAAAATGCCGATGAATCGTTCATAATTAAAAAAGTAGAAAATATCTTTGACAGAATACGGTAGATCACTGATAATCTGTTTTTTTGATATTGCTTTCACTAGTGTATCGAGAATACAGGTGAACGTGTCTTCCCCCACCGTGTGAAAATGATTGAATCATGTCATCGAGGAGGGCAGAGAACGTTCTTTTCTCGGCATCAGTAACTTACAAATAGACAACAATAGAACTCACAAGTTGACATATATTGCAATACRTAGGAGACCTCTGAGAATATCCCAACTATTAAGGTTTTTCAATCCCTTCAAGATGAATAAAGCTTGTATTTTGTACACACACAGTCCCCGACCACACTTGTTAGAACAGACTGGACACCAAAATACATTCTTCTTGTAAGTTTAGAACTTTAATTGAACGAGAATAATCAGACAAGGCTTTTTCTATCTAGGGAATTTCTATTGTAATAGACTTGAATGCATTTTAATTTGTTTCCGTATGTTTTGTGAGCAGGTTTCATGAAAGGGACGAACAAGAAAGGGGAATTCCTAGATTTTAAACAACTGTTTAATTTTTTTAATTAACGACAAGAAATCTAAAATGAATAACTGCAATATGTCTGTAGTAAACCAAGTTAGCTCGCTCTTTTCGTGGTTTCTTTTCGTTCAGTTATATTTCATATTTTTTCATTCATTTTTCTATTTTTCCTTTCTTTCTGCCCTTCAAATTTTCATCAAGAGGTCGTCTAGTTTCTTTTTTCTTCGACATAGTAGTTTTTATTATTTCATTTTATCAACCAATCTTTCCCTGTATCCATAACCTCTTACCTCTCCCAAAGTAGCCGTAATAGTAACTTGAAAATCGTGTAACGTGGCACATAAGATATATGACCCCTTAGATAGTTGGTTGTCATGGCAAAAGCAGTGCGCGTTACCCACAGGGCTCAGTAGATAATGCATTATGCTTTCTTCCGTAGTATTGTCAGATTGACGCATAATTTAKTCTAGTTTTCAATCATTAAAGCTCTTTGATATGCTAAAATTAAAGACCTGTGCTTTGATATTTGTATCGTCTTTTGAGAGTGAAGTATTAAAGCCCTAGTTATCTACCATACGGACTTCTATTTACTTTGAATACAACCGTATTCACGACCAACACGGCGACCTTACAGTTGGTCTTCTTTCAATATAGAGATGTTAACATGACTATTTATTARGTTCGACCCTTTGGCTAGCCACAGGGAGCCCGTCAAATTGGATTTAGCGAASTGTGGGGTCGGATTATGCGGCTGGTGCTATATTGTTCTCGCGCTACGGCTGCGGGTTTACATTTTTTATTTCCTTTAAAAGAAAGAATTTAATGTTTTGAKCTCTGTAGGGTATATTTTTATTGTTTCTTAGATTAGTTTCGCTAATATTTCAACGCAGATCTATTGAATTAAAGTTACTGGGTAGCCGAGCCTAAAACTTTGTCTTTTTGCAGTTATTATTTCCATTTTTTTTCCTTTCTGTGGAAAATTTTGTGTAACTACGAAGAAACTAGAAGCATTTCAAAAGGAAGTCGACCGCTGAGTCTTTGAATTTTTTTCATTTTAACAGATTTACATAGTTTGCCTCCCCGACAATTTTTCTCCATTCATAGCGATTCCTTTGTGATGACATTATCCAATAAAGTGTGGAAATTTGAACAGAATTCAGCTTCTTTGCTTTTACCGCTTTCTACTTTCCATGTAATGCTGCTTATCGGTTTCCAATACCGCTGTCAGTTGTATTTGGAATAGATGTTTTGTTTCATTTCCTAGTGTATAGGTACTCCTAATTATTTTCAAAGCGCATCATTAATGAAATCGGCGAGTTTTTGCGGCAGCGATTCTCATTTTGCATCATGTTTTTACTAGTAATTTACATATTTCATCCTGTAAATAATAGGACTCATTCATCAAGGGTTTCACACCAAAGACCGACATTAACCAGTTTTAAATGTTAACCATGATTTATTAATAACGCTAGTTTAATGTACGCTATTTTTTTTAATCTAATAGGTGATGCTGTACTTGTAGTGTGTTCAGTCTCCCAAAGGGTCTTTATCTTTTAACAGGTGTTCCCGACTACCTGTGCTTTTCAACTAGCACACAAGTCAATTTTCTCAAAGTACGGAACAAAGCTTGTGGGGTATTTCAATTCGAATTGTATTGTTGAATCTCAACACTTTTAATGTTTTCTTGAATAGCAGTTATAGTTTATAAGAAATGTTAAAGTATTTCGTATGGTTTGCCACAAATATTCACCGAATWCTGATCCCAAATCTGTAACTCCCCTGGATGGGTTTTAATGGATTTCAACAACAAAAACACAGCTCTACTTTTTATCCAGTGAGCTCTCCCAGATTGCAAATTGATAGAGACCTCATAGTTCATTTGTCATGTCGCAGACAATATTTCTATAGATGCTTTGCCTGTGAGTTCGRTTTTTTGTAGCACATTTGTCAACCGATTTTTGTCTTATACCACGTTTGGAACAATAAACCTTCGTCTGTCTAGTAACATAAATTATTTCACATGTACCGATCTATTGTCAGCTCGTCATTGCACTTTGACATTTAACGTTYCAAAAGTGAACGTTGAAAATGCCAGCCCGCTAGCAGGTTACCATGCACGTTGCCACCAATTCTGAGAATCTAAACCTCTGTTTCTAAGAGTTCAACGGTGAAATCAAAGTTCTGAATTTGATGGACACTCTAGCTTATGGCAATAATTATTATAGGCGTTAGCCGAAACGATCTTGAAAGTATTTAGCTAGTATGGGCTTCATAGRCTTGCTTCGYGGTACACGACTTATCATGAAGTGTCAGAAAATGAAGCCCCGCGAGATATTCAGATATGGGGCCAGTGTATCTTAAAAGTCACCAATTCTTTTCGCTTGTTTCTCTTTGAACTTACTATTACGAGTGTAAAGTCTTCAATGAATGATAGACCACGCAGTAATACACGAATTATCGTTCAAATAAATTTATTTTCTCTTCTTTTTTAAAAATGTTTTTAGGTTTTTCAATGTTCTATTCAGTAATAATTTATCGATATACCATGTTTACCTTCACAAATGAAAGCCCATCCACATGTTTTACGTGTAATATAATATGAATTTCCTGGATGGGAAAATATAATTTTCAAAATAAATAACATAACTGATATTGAGTTAACTCAACCGATTTTCTGTCTTATTAATTGGACAAGTTTCTTCTTCCCTTTGTAGAGAACTTTCATATTGTTAAGAAGTGCATTRAATCGATGAGAACCATCYTCAGCGAGCTCAAARACTTCTTTTGCTTTTCTAAGAAAGTCTATRAAGTCAGTGTAATGTCTTGGGCTGATGTGGTTGAGTCTACTATGAACGGTGTTCACGTAMGCATTAATTGTGCATTCCAACAGTTGATGCAAAGGTTCTTCATCACAAAGAGCGAACTTTCCAAACGTTCGCGGACACGAGGACGTGGTCTGCGCAAATGCGCAACGGAAAAGAATGTCTGACAATACTGTAGGGC